TATATATATATATATATATATATATATATATATAATATTTATACAGTTACAATGTATAAATCAGGATTTATACATTGTAACTGTTGTCATCATTCAGTTGTTGTTGGTCAAACACAGAACTTCAGTTTGAGCTAAATTTGCGTTGTTGGCTTTATATTTTTAATTGCTGCCTGGTTTTTAATCAAACACTAAATATACCAGAATCCTAACAAGAATCCCATTTTCTCCTGTTTTGTGTTTTCAGAGGCCAATCCAGAGAAGTTCAACAGCCGCTTCAGGAATAAGATGTTCTACGCTGGGGTGAGTCCGGCTCTCATCCTGCTCCTTCAGTCCATCCCCTCAAACGTCTTACATCCATTCATATGTGGGTTTTTTTTCTTTAGACGGCCTTTTCGGACTTCCTGAGCGGCAGCTCCAAAGACCTCGCCAAACACATCAGAGTGGTGGTGAGTGCAGGCAGCGACCAGGTTCTCCGTTTTCTCAGAACTGAGCAGCATTTAAAAACAGCCACTGGTTTTCATTTCTGAAGCTCAGAGAACCGGTATTTCACTCTGTGCATCATTTTCCATCACCAGGTCAGATTGAGGTCTGACACACTGCTGCAGATGCAGGTTTTGGTTTTATTTCTATCTGAGCAAACCTGCATTCAGAGAGAATAAAACACATTTAAGTGACATTGCAGAGCCTTTTGTATCCAACGAGCTACAACAAAGCTTCATCCATTTCAATAACATCAGCAGGCTTTGTTACTGCCTCTCTTCTGTCCCTTTTATAGCCTGTGAGATGCATTATCCCATCCAGGCTTCGTGTTCGATGTGACACAACCACAGGATATATTTGGTCTAAACATAACGAGTATTTCTCTTTAAAATCAACAATTCTCTATTCTAGGTGTATCACAGCTGTGATGTGGCAGGTATTCAAAACAAAAATATAAATAATCAGGCTCAATGTTAGACCAACATATGTGTGCCTGTTATTCAGTGGTGGGTTATTCTAACTAGAAATTTAGTTACGCTAACCCTAAAGAATAATTGTTCTGTTAATGCTATAGCGCTACACCATCGTTTTGTGTTGATGGAAGTTAATGCTAAAGCGCTAACTACAGTTCCAAATTATACAATACATGAACTGGAAAGACTACAACCATCAAACACAAATTTAATTTTGACATTATAATTTACACATTTTGTTGTGTTTATGTGTATATCTTGTTCTCTGCTGTCCGTGTTTTATTTTCTTCCAGCATGTACAAACAAATGTTTAAATGAAGTTATTTGGGGGAAAAAATACAGAGTGAGAACGTCTGATGGGCCATTTAAATTTCCGCAAGAAAACTTTTCCAGAAAAAAACTCAAAAATTTCAAATGTCCAAAGCTTTTAATTTTCTAAACTCAGAAATTACCAAAGTTTTCTAGAAAATTTCTGAGATTAATCTCAAAATTTTTGGTTTTTTTCTAGCAAATGTTCGACTTTTGGAACTAAGAGCTTCTCTTGTTTTTGATTGAAATTTTTTTAAATGAATCTCAAAATTTAAGGTTTTTGGCAGAAACGTATTTAATTACATTGCCCTAATACGCAGTTGTAGAAACGGAACTGCTGCGTAAACAATGTTGACACATTTCAAAATAAGAGCATGCTTATAAACCACTCATTACTTGAAGAAAAACACAAACGTCAAACTTTATTCAAATGAAAGTTCACAAAACAGCCAAGTAAATTATCGCTCTGGAAACATCTATTTAGGGGAAGCTCAGTGCTAAGCTAAATGGTTTCAGTTAGCTGAACAAAAAATTAGCAGATTATTAGAAGTCTACACACCACTGCTGGCAGAAAGTCAAGATTTCGTCCTGAAATTTGATTGTTTAGAAGCAGCAAAATGGAAAGAATAAGGATGTGAAAGCTGGAATGCGAGTCTCTCTGAAGCTGCAGGTTTTCCTTTGTGTTTTTCAGCCTCTTTTGCTTAATATCTATTGTTTTTCAGTCATTTTCCCTCTTTTATTGAAATATTTTTGTTTATTTCCCTGATTTACTTCAGCTGAGCTGTGATTTTATTTATCTGCACACGAGTGTGTTCTGGTCGTCTCATCTTTAAACCCGGTTGTATTTTCTCAAAGTGTGATGGCACGGATCTGACGGCCAAAGTCCAGGAGATGAAGCTGCAGTGCCTCCTCTTCCTCAACATTCCCAGGTTGTAGAACAGTAGAGGAATATTTTTTACAGTGCGTTAAAGCATTGCCTCTGTGTCTCCAGTGACTCATTTAAACTCTTTGGGTCGTTCTTGTTTTTTCTGCAGGTACTGTGCCGGCACCACACCGTGGGGAAACCCCAGTGAGAGTCAAGACTTCGAGCCTCAGCGTCACGATGACGGCTGCATAGAGGTCATCGGGTTCACCATGACTTCTCTGGTGAGGTCAAAGTTCAATCACTGCGATCACATGGATTGGCTGCTAATTTTTTGTTTCAGTATAAATGCTTCTGGCTATGTGACCTGACAAAAAAGAACAATAAAATCCTCTTAATCTGGATAAAAACTTAAAGCAACAGCTATTCAGTCAAAAGGACAACACTTGCTCGGTTAGAGCACCTGTGTCAAACATAAGGCCCGCGGGCCAAATCCGGCCCGCCACAGCTTTTTATGTGGCCGTCTAGACTCCAGATTATGCATAAATAGAACCTTCAAGATAACCATTGTTTGCTTAAATATGATTTTATTAATCAAACCAGTGGTTTTTAACCATTTACTGCCAAGTTACTTTAGTCAATATTTCCAGCAGCCCTCCCTGCAACTCGGCTCCTTCAGACTAGCCAGCAGCAATTAGCAAACAGCTGGTGGAATTGAGCTTCTGGTGAACTCATTATAGGAGCTTCTTCTCAGTGGGACGCTGATAAAACATTGCTAAATGGTTAATAGAGGAGCCATGTTGTTATGACTTCCTGAAGGCGGAGTTTCAGAAACAGCAGGAGCTTTTAAAGAGACAGAGGCCCAATTTCAAAGCATTAAATTGCAAAGTCAAATTTCTTTTAAGTCATATTTGATATATACAGCATTCTTATTACAACTGAAGGTAACCTAGTTAAAATGGCCTATATGCATAATACTGCCCCTCTAAGTGTCATCACTTTAAGCCACCTGCTCATTTTTCCCTATGCTTTGTGTGCAGGCGACGCTGCAGGTGGGCGGCCACGGCGAGCGTCTTCACCAGTGCAAAGAGGTGACCCTCACCACCTTCAAGTCCATCCCCATGCAGGTGGACGGCGAGCCCTGCAAGCTAGCGCCATCCATCATTCGCATCAACCTGCGGAACCAGGCCAACATGGTCCAGAAGGCCAAGCGAAGGATCTCCATGCCGCATCTGAACGAGTAAGAGTCTGGACTGAACGGTGCTAAACTCAGGAGGAGGTGTTTTGTTGTTAACGGAGTGTCTCAGGGCTTTGTTCTTAGCCCATTTCTGAAGCCCCAAATGATTTAAAGGGATCCACAAGTAGTTGAACACAATGGCCTAAATATGTCGTAATTTTCCTTTTAACTTGTTGCTGTTTGTTATACACCATAACTATAATTACTTCAAATTATAGTTGGTCCGTTGGAATCTACAGAGTAAACACCGGAAGGCTGCAGTCCAATCGAGTTCAACGAGCTCCGGTTCAAATTAAAAAGACTCATCACTGTTTGGGCTGCGCGGAGCTAGCGCAGTCAGACCTGTAGATGTCATTTACCCATAATGCATTGCAGTGTGAACAACACGTTGGTGTGACAATATCTTAACGTTTATAAAAACTAAACAACTTACAGTATTATTTTTACATCTAAAATAAATTGTCTATTGTTACAACTAATTGTGTTACAAGTTAATTTATCTGCCAATGGATAAATTAACTGGCAGATATCATATATTGATATAAGGAATCGATATATGAAGGAATATTGATTCCTTCATCAATATTAAGGAGTTCTTTACTTAAAACAAGCCTCTATGTCATGCTGAAAAGTAACTTTTAAATTAGTTTAACTTACAAAGATATTTGCACTAGAAATTAGACCAAAATTACTTGGTAAGATTTTGTGTTTTTGCAGTGTACTGTTGGACATAAGCAGGTTTTTCTTAAACATGAGAGTTGGAGGCGTAGCTCTTGCTTGTCTCGGTCCGTGTTGTGTTCTTGAAACGTTCTGTGTGTGTGTGTGTGTCCTCTTTAGGTTAGTGTGTAAATGTCAGTGTGTGTGTGTTTGTGCGCAGCCAGCAGCCGGTTCCTGAGAAGCTGCAGATCCGGGTGAACCGGATCAGCATGGCGGCTTACGAGGCTCTGCATTACGACAAGGACCAGCTGAAGGAGGCCTGTGAGTGCTGCACTCCGGTTTTACTCTCCTCACACTTTAAAACTGAAATCCAGCTGATTAATCGGTTTAGTTGTGATTAATCGATTATTGAGATAATCGTCTTAACTAATTTCGTGATCAATTAATCATTAACTAGAGTATGCAGACTCAAAAAATGCTATTTGCTGAAAGAAAAACATTCAGAGCAGTAATTCAGCTAAAACTGTAGAAAAACTACATTGATTTTCCATTTAAGAGGAAGTTCTTTTTCAGTAAAAAAAAAAACAGATAAACTATTATGAAGCAACTTTTGCTTTACAATTATTATTTAGTTAATCTGAAAGATGATAATCAGATTCATCCAACACTGTATCAATGGTAAGCCCAGCAGAAACAACTCAACTTTTCACATTTTGAAGGTTTTTTTGCTGCATATTCAAGTAATGAAATATGTATTTTTTTATTTTAAAAAATTATTTAAAAAAAATGTTTTATTTGCATTTTTTACTGTATTTATTATAATGTGTAAAAAAGTTTTGTGGTTAAATTAAAAAATGACTATGCCAATTTTTGTATGTTTAATCATCAGAATAATCAATAAAATCAATTAATTGTCAGAATAATTGATAATTGGTTGCTAAAGTAAGCGTTAGTTACAACCCTGATATCCCGCCCTTCATCCATTGTTAAATTGACTTGATGTTTTTGAAAAAAATAGATTTATCGCAGACTGACCTGAGATTTAATCACTGATTTTAGATGACTGGCTCTGGATTCGGTTCTTATTTCCAGTAAAAATCCCTGAAATGACGCCAAACTGAACCAGGACAGAATTAATTAATTCAATTTGGTCCCAACTGGACACACAACCTGCATTTCAAAGAATTTAAACTATTAGCGTCCAAACTTTTTGACATGAGGGCTGAAAAATGTCACATTTTGGCATTATTATTAAATAAAATTACAAAATCTAAACCCAGAGATGATAAATGCGACGATCGTTTGTGCAGCGACGCCGCTGGGAGTCATCGTCGTCCCTGGCGACAGCGACCTGGAGATGTGCCGGCTGCACATTGAGCGTCTCCAGGACAACCCGGACCAGGAAGTAGAGCAGGTGCGTACCTGGTTATCCAGGTGTTGCTGGTGATGGTGGAGCAGATCCGGGTTAGGAAGAACCGGGTTTCATCCTGGTTCTCTTTCTGATCCTGCAGGACGGAGACGAGATGAAAGGAGAGAGTCTGTCGTCACAAAAACTCTCCATCAACTGGTGTTTCCTGGACTGTAAGCCTCACACTCAACATCTTACCTGAGATCCTGACCAATCCTGACCGGGCTTTCTGTTTCCAGGTACGACTGCAGATCGGTTCTACAGGATCGACCGGGCTCAGGTAGGACCAGAGGTTTCTGCTCTTGCAGGCCTTCAGGAAACAAAACATTTGACCTTTATGACCTGAGTAACCTTAGTGTTTTCCTGAGTGCTTTCTTTGTTCAACGGATCACAAATTAGCAACTGATGCCAAGTTAAATAAGACTCAGCTGCACCAAGAACCAGTAAAGGAAATGACACACAAACCTATGAAAAAGATATTAGCACAACTTGCTTCTTCACTCAAAGTGAACAAAAATTAAGCTAGATTTTAGCAGTTGTATTTTAGCTGACTATTTTAGATATTTTCTAGGTAAAAAAAATTAATAATTTAGTCACGTTCCAAAGAAAATATTTGTTTTTACTAAACTTCTTTAATTAAAGACAATTTTCCTGACATTAAAAATTAAAACTGAATCTGAGTTGATGTGAGACTTGATGTTTTTCTTATTTTTCGCCCCAGGAACACCTGAACTACGTGACGGAGATCTCTCAGGATGAGCTCTACATCCTGGACCCGGAGCTGGTGGCGAAGGAGACCGTGGGAACCTCCCCCAGTATGCCGGACCAGTTCTCCTTCCCCTGCACCCCCTCGTCACCCACCTCTCCCAGGTGAGTTTCTTTCTGATCCATCTGCTAAAATCTAAGAACATGTCCAGGAACGTGTCAGTTTAGTTTGACATTTATCAAGATTAAAGCTTATAAACAGACTCTCCTTTAAAGGGGATTTATCATCCAAAACTCAAAGTTTTGCAGGTTAATGTTTTTTTGATGCCTGGAAAATGAATCGTCTCCCTGTTAAGTCACATTCGTCAGGCAATGTGACGTTGCCTAGCAACCCAAGCAGAGTTCTGCCCGTTACCTAGCAACCCAAGCAGAGTTCTGCCCGTTTCGTCGGCTGGTTTGGCCGCTTTATAATGGCAGCTGGAAAAGACGAGTTTTTTGTTGACTTACCATTCAGAAACCACTTGCTGAATTCTTATTGGTTGTGCAGGAGGCTCCACTTTCGCTTTTCAAAGATGTAAGGTTGTATAATTGTGCATCTGTTTGCAGCCATTTTCACGTTTGACTGGAAACATTGAGTTGGGGCAGCGGTCAACAGCAGCTTATTTGGATTTAAAGTGATAAGATGCCCTAAAACAGTTCTGACCAAGCATTATCATTCAGAATGTTTTTGTGCAAAGCATGTAATGAACATGCTTTGTATAGGCCAGTGGTCAGTCCTCGAGGGACGGCATCCTACATGTTTTAGTTCTTTCCCTGGTTTAACTGCCCTGGATCCATTGATGTCTCGTTATAAGGCCTAAGAAGAACATTGACTTGCTGAGGAGGCTGTTACTACCACCAGGAAAAGAACTGAAACATGCAGGACGCCAGCCCTCGAGGACCGACTTTGGGCACCACTGGAGTAGGCCGTAGATCTATCCTAATGTGTTCCAGTAATCATAGTAGGTTACCTTTAAGTGAGCAGAGCGCCTTCTGCTGGAGGAAGTTGGTACTGCAGCAGTTCATCGTCTCAGATAATAGGGGAGTCATTTAATGCAGAAATCAGTAATGAACTGAGCTCCAGCTGCTGTTTGGAATGCTGTTGCCATGGAGACACTCATCTGTCTCTGCGTTGGTCACTCAGTCATGATCGATTGGTCCCCGAGGACAAACCGGAGGACAGACAGTGAAGAGCGTGTGTCTGTGTTTCAGGCAGAGGAAGAGGATCTCCAGTGACAGTTCGGTGTCAGAGGCTTTGACCCAGACCTCACCTAAAACTACTCTGCAAAGGTAAACATACACACACACACACAGACACACACACACACACACCGCCTCGCTGGACAGCTGGGATGGAGGAAGTTTTCACGTCCAATATTCTGGTACCTGGAGCTGTTAGAGGCTTCATTTCTGCTACAGTTTCCTGTCCAAGCAGTCAGAGGTTGCTGTCATCTGTTGAACTGATCTGGATCGTTGGTTCTGGTCTGGAGACTAAAGGGCTCTTTAAATGGAGTGATGGTTCTGATCCAAGTCTGGCTTCTGTTTGTAGTTCTGCTGCGAGTCTTGGCTCTGTTCCGAGTCAGGAACTTGTTCAACGCTAGAGACTCGTTCTCTCTCAGGAGTCCGGTCCGCGTCGCACAACAGTCGGACTTTAGACTGAAACTCAGATAGAAAAGGAACCAAAGTCCAGAGAAAAACTCTGACCGATCTCTGAGAAGTCCAGATGATCCAGAACCGTTTGACTAAACCCAGAACAAAATAAATTAAATATTGTTGTTTTTTTTTTTATATCAAAGTTTTAATGTTTGACACTCGTTTGTATTTCCTAGTTTGCAACTCAAATGATGACCAAAAATAAAACTCATGTTCAGCTTGAAAGTATTTCAAAATCATGAGAAAAGATCTGAATATTGATTCAGAGAAAATGAACCATCAGACATGATCTGATAGTTCTGATCCAGACCAGTTCTGGAAAGCATCTCCTGACTGATCCGAATGGAAAACAAACCGACTCGGATCAGTTTCTGAGAACTTCCTCCAGCCCTGACCGTCTGCAGAGAGACCAGAGCGCCCCCTGCTGGAGTGGCTCCGTCTGTGTCGTGTGTGAAGTGAAGAACCGCCTGTAGGTCCCGCTAACTTCCTCCCGCTGTCATGTCTGCTGTTTCCTGTCTGTGATATGAAGGAGAGGAGCAAAGATAATCAGTGTCGATCGCTCCGTTACGACCACGGCTGATTTCAGACCAGCTGTTAGGTAGGACCAACCTGTCTCTGTCCTCCCGGTTCCTCCTGGCTCCTCCTGGTTTTTTCTGTTTCCTCCTGGTTCCTCTTGCATTATCCTGATTCCTCCCGGTTCCTCCTGGCTCCTCCTGGTTTTTCCTGGTTCCTCCTGGCTCCTCCTGGTTCCTCCTGGCTCCTCCTCTGCTCTGGGTTCTGCTTTGTGCTGATGCCTCTGTCTAAATGTCTTTCTGTGAAACTTGCCAAGCTCTGCAGGAGGAGATGATGTGCAGCTGTGGAGAAGCGGCTTTGCCTTCGTTTCTGATGATGTGTTTGTATGTTGATGCATTCAGACTGAGAGGCTGGTTTTAACTTCTCACAGTTTCTGCTTCAGATGCCCTGCAGAAAAAACGGTTCAAGAGAAACTCTCCAGAAAACAGAAGAGCAGAATAGATTTAAACAGTCTTAAATTGTGCTCCTGAGAAATCAAATACTTCTTAACAGTTTTATTTCATTTTTATACTTATATATATATATTCTATGTTTTAATTAATTGGAACAAAGTTTATTTATTTTAGAAACCAAATGCATTATTTTCTTTTCTTTATGTTTATATTTTTATTCAACTGATTTAAACATTTTTTGGGAAAAAATACTTTTTAAAAATCAGATGTTTACTTTTCTTATATCTATATATATATATATATATATATATATATATATATATATATATATAGATAGATAGATAGATAGATAGATAGATAGATATATACATATATCTTCAAGTAATCTCTAAATTTGAGGGGGGAATGCTTTTTTGAATTTATTTCTGAAATCAAATTATTTCTTACATTTTAATTTTAATATCGCTATTACTATTATAAATGTTTTTGTTATAAATCAATTCTTTTTATTTTTTTTATCTTTAAATTAGAAATGAAAAGTGTTTATGATTGGACAAGCTCTAACTGCTGCTCAATCTTCATTCTTCAACAAAAAGTTACAGGAAAAACAAAACTGGATCTAAAATCCAGAACTTTTGAAACTGGAAATAAAATTAAATTCAAACAGGTTCAAAACATTGAGTACTGCCACCTACTGGACAGAAGCAGAACAGACTGTAGTAGATATTTGCAGGGGGGAAAAGGCGTCTTAGTTTTATATAAACACTGGAGATTATTTAAAAATAATGAAACAAATGCATGCTGGGAAGGTTCAGACCAAAGCAGTAGATAATCTCCTCTCTGTGTGTTTTAACATGTTGCGGTGTGGGAGCAGGGAGGGTCTGTGAGGTGCACAGATTTCCTGAGTAGTAAAGGGTTTTACTGTGGCGTTTGCTGGTTGATGTTTTAATGGAGGTCAAAGGTCAACTTTGAATATCTTCTCACTCTCCTTCTGGTTGGTTCTGATTCTGTCCTCTGTCTCCTCACAGAACCTCCACTGCTACCTCACAGGACCCTGAAAAAGGTAAATCTGATCTGTTGGAGATTAGTGAGTCAATTTAAGGTTGATTGATGTTATCGATCGACAAAGGATTCGTTTACAATCCAGAATTATTTCTTATATCAAGAGGCCTGACATAACATAAACGGCTACATTTTGAATAATACGCTGCTTCGTCGAGCATTTCGGCTGAATGACCATTAATGAGGTGAAATGTTACTTAAAGAGCGTTTACATTTTAAAACGGAACCGCATAAAGTGCGTTTTCCATCCCACACCGGACTCCGTTTGTCTTTATCGTTATGGTTTGGCCCCGCCATCTTTGTTTCTGGCTTTGCTTCTAGAGGACCAGCGGCGCCCTCTGCAGGATGGCGGCCAAACTACAAAACTAAAAGAAGGTCTACTCTAAGCGGATTAGTTAATCGATTGGAACTCATTTAATCTAATAAACCATTACTCATCAGTTTATTGTAAATTGCCATGCGGGTCAAATAAATATATTTTTTAAAAACTAAGGTCACCAAAGTGATGGGTTTTTAACATACTCAACAATAAACTAATAAACTAAGCATGAACGTTTTTAAATTAAACAATTAAACAAGATTTTTTGTTGTAGAAAAGGGATTGCAGATCCAAAAATTTAATGTTTTCCTTATTAAATGAAATGCATCCAGTCTACTTATTTTGGGCTTGACGAAAACTGGAAAAAAATTATATATTTTTGTAGTATTTTCTCAGCAAAATAAAAACAAGATCTAGGTCAGTCTTCATGTGATATTTTTAGGTTTTAATAAAGCAATTAAAAACGGCTTTAGGTGCAACAATTTGTACTTTAGAGTTTAAGCCAATGAGTAAATGTTACTATAACAATCGAAGAAAACCGGAAAACCCCATGTAAAATTTTTGTAAGTAGATTTTAGTTTAAAAGTCGTAGTTTTGTCCTAATTGATCTGATTCATAAAATCAGTCCAGGGGCCCGCCCCCTTGTTTTAGGTCTTTATTAAGATGCAAAAATGAAGCAACATTTCTTAAATGATTTGTGTTCTAGATGTGGCCACTAGATGGCGCTGCTCCTTTGGTTTTCAAGCCTTCATCTGTTTCTGTTTTTTAGATGCGGAGCTGATCAGCTGCATCAAGAATGAGAACCTGAGCAGGGTGAGTCTGCAGACTTCAGATCAGATCTGAAACTGGGAGAAATACTGAAACCTGTTCCTTTTACCGCCGGATAGTTAAGTCATTCACTGATGTAACAAGGACCTACAGACAGCTGTAGGTCCTACAGGTGAAACAAAAATGTTAAGATTTTTGTCTTAACAAAAATCTTAACATTTTTTGTTAAATGTTAAGATTTAACAAAATCTTAACATTTAAGATGTTAAGATCTTAACATCTTAGGAGAAGATGTTCTCCTAAGATGTTAACATTCTTAAGAAATGAATGTTAAGGAGAAACAAAAATGTTAAGATTTTATTTCAAAGTTTCTATTTGCTCAACACAGAATGGCTGAAACAGTTGGGTAAAATCTTGAATTTAACAATTTGATAGTTTTTCCGTGTAACTATAGTTTTTTCTTTTTTCTGGGCTAAGACTTGGTGTAAAACATAAAAATAAAATTAAAAGTATCAAATGTATTTATTTTTTTAGTTTCTTTAGCTTTGAAGTTAACAGAAATTAACTGGTTTTCATGGATCCAGATTCTAATAAATGTAGTTTTTTTCTTCAGTTTCTCAATATTTAGTATAAAATATGAAAGAAAAAATAAAACAAGCTAGAAATTATTTTAAAAAATGTTTTTGTTTCTTCAGCTTTGAAGTTGAGAGAAAATACAATTTCAGTGGTTTTCTTGGATCCATAACTTAGAAAATAGTTTTTTTTTCTTTGTTTTTTGCAAATATTTAATGTAAAAAAAAAAAGTTAAATAATTAAATTTATTTACTTTTTAATTTCTTTAGTTTAGTAGTTAAGACAATCTCACTTTGTTTTTTTTCTGATTCCAGATTTGAGTGTGTGTGTGTGTGTGTGTGTGTGTGTGTGTGTGTATATATATATATATTTTTTTTTTTTTTTTTTTTTTTTTATTTTTTTGTGTAAATAAATAAAAAAAAAAAAATTTT